AAAATTATGGAAAAAAAGAACATTCCACACCCCACCCCCAAACGAATTACACTAATGGAATAATTATAAAATGAAGTAACAGTCTCCAGAATGAGAGAAGAAGCTTTCAGCTACTTTTCAGGCAGAACAATAATGTACACAACATATAAATGAATAAAAATGTAGAGCACCTTAACCAAAAGGCTATATCAACAAGTAGATAAGTGAAAAAAGCATAGTCTTCTCAGAGTTTAAATTACAAGTGGTAAAAAAAATACACGAAAAAATTTTCTCATCTTTGACTGGTAAAGAAATTATAATTAAAACAATGCAAAGATTCCATCTCACATCTAAAAAAATGGAAGTCATTAAAAAGACATAAAATAACCAATGGTGGTGGGGCTATTGGGGAAAAGGCAGTGTTCTATTGCTTTAAATTCTCTATTCCTCTCTCTTTTTGTACCTTTGATTATTTCCTCTGGTTACTGTGCCTTTCTCTCTGTTTAGTCTTCATTTATTTGTAGTTTGTTATTTTCTATCTTTGTTTTCATTTTCTTTTATTCTCCCTCCTCCCAAAATCTTTAGCTGATACAGTGTCTTGTCATATGCCACTTTTTATTCTAATGCCAAATAAGTCATTCTTAATTCCTAAATTTTGCTTATTGTTTAAAAGTTTTTCTCTCTTGCTTGTTCATTTCCCTTGCCTTATTGATGTTTATTCTGTCTCATCCTCTATCCTCTCCTTGCTCTTCCTCCATCTGAATCATACACACACACGCACACACACACACACACACACACACACACACACACGAACCAAAGCACAAACATAAAAATGTCCTTTTAAATTGATATGGTGGATATGTAGAATTGTACAATCTTCATGGAAATCAACGTGGAGATTCCTCAAAAATCTAGGATTAGAAGTACCATTTAACCCAGCTATTTCCTGTCTGAATATTTTTCAAAAAGAATAAAAAAACATTGCATCGCATGTGTTTATATATAAATATATGTACCTGTATTTATAGGAGTACAATTTGTCATAGATAATGCTTAGAAATAGCCTAAATGCCCATCAACTGATGAATGCATAAAAAATAAATGGCATTTTTAATACAGTGGAGTATTACTCAGGTATAATACTCAGATAAAGGTAGGGCTGGTGATATAGCTCAGCAGACTAATTGCTTGCTCAGGTAAGCGCAGGGACCACAGTTTGATCCCTGGCACGGAATGCCACACTGGCTCCACCTCTGGGCATGCTGAACTGACAATGGAGTCCGGGTGTGGTGGAGCATACCTGTAATCCCAGCGCTAGGGAGGCAGAAATCAGGAGGCTCACTGTGAGTCTGAGGTGCATAATGAGACTCTACACACACACACACACACACACACACACACACACACGCACACACTCACATCCACACACACCAAAAACCCCCCAAACTTAAAAGAAAAATAAAGGCTTTTATATGTAAATGACTGCAACTAGAGGCTATATTCACAAGTGAAATAAATCAGGCCCACATGTGTAAACACTATATTGTCTCCCTAGTGAAAAAACCTGAAAAAGTAAGTGAAAACTGAACGGTGCAATAGATATAGTATAAGGGCAAGAAACTGAACAGATACAATTGGAATGATGGAAAGGAGACAAAAAAGGAAAACAAATTAAAAGGAAAAATCAAGTATGTATAAACAGATAGCTAAGATGATTGTACTACTGATTTCTGTCAGTGTTTTGAAGGTAACAGTTAATTTTTTAAAGCTTATATTAATGAAAAGAACCCTACATTTATTGGCCCTCAGTAAAAACATAAGGGTAGTCAAAACAATATGAACAAATGCCTTACAAACACTCCCAGCGTGAACCACTTAAACAACTGCCTTTTTTTACATATCATCATAACTTCCATTGCCTCACTTTCCTGCTATTTGAATTCATTGATCATTTCTAGTTGGAGACACTTAGTAGCAGAGTAATGTATAGCTCCTTTCAGCATGATCTGACCCAGTTGTTTTCTTGACTTTGTTTTAGGATGAATTTCTTCTGCACCATCAAATATAAGGTTCATGTACTCACCAAAACCCATAGTACAGCTCTCTATCCTCATATTCACTTGCTCATACAACCACACCTGGATCTGAGATCTGTTCTGCAAGGATTTGAAGATGAGGTTGATGGGCTACAGAACCACCTTCTGCACTTTCTTGCCTTGACCCTGGTATGCCACGGCGGAACCCGACAAAGACCACACCAGCCACCACCCTACCTCTAGCGGCAATTTCCCAATTTTTAGCTTTTTAAAATTTTTAAAATTTATTTATTCATTATTTTTCCCCATAATTTTATTGAGAAACAAATAGCAATGAGACAGTTTCCAATCAAATTGGTAGGACAGTTTCAATAATTAACACATTGCATACTGTCTTCTAACAGTTGAATATTCAATTGTAATTTGACCGATTTTATATATTTGTATTTGCAATCTGAGCAATTACACTGAAGACAGCAATGTGCAATAGAACAACAACTGTGGAATGCTTATAATGGTTTTAAAATTGAATTTCCTTTCTAATACCTTATCTATTGTTTTAAAATTCTCTTTAAAATAAAATTATAATAATTAAATTGATATGTTATACGGATTGTGACTCTGATCTTATAATGTTTTTTATGTTCCTTTTCTTTTGTACTTTTTTTCTTATGGCTCTCTCCAACTACCGTTTTTCTCTTTTCCTTCTCCTGGTATTTCCATGTCAAATTCCACAGTGTTTCTGCTGATTTCCCTCAAATTCCCCAGTTTGCTTTTTCCCACAGTGTGTGTTCTACCTTGATTTTACTCCATCCCCATTTCTCTTATTCACCACCCCTCCGCTGTCTGTCTCTATCAGCACTGCTTCTCTCTGTGTGGTTTCCATGTGAGTCACTTCTTGTTTTCTTATTGGTTGTCTCCCTGCATTCTCCATCAATTATGCATCATTTTACTCATTTTACCTGAAAGAGGATGTTTAAGATTCACATTTTATTAAGTTCAATATCAGATAACTCATCTTCAAAAATACATAGGATACAAAAATTCAAATGTATACAAAACTCACACATAGTCTTTGATACAATCAATTTTTACAGTCAAATAGCTCTTCAAAGAGAAATGCATGAGTTTCTCTATCTAAAATCCATGATTTGGGCCTGGCGAGATAGCTCAGTAGAATAAGTGCTTGCCTAGCAAGATCAAAGGCTTGAGTTCAATCCCTGGTTCTGCCAGAAAAAGGTCATGATTTTAAAGCCTGAACTAAGTAACTAAATTGTAGAACACATGTTTATGTGGACAAACACCATATACATGCAAGTATACGTTTTGTAACACGTATGCATGCAGAAATATGTGCACATGCAAAAATATATCCACAAATATACACACATACACAGGCTGATACAATCCGGTATACTTAATTCTTTTCATAAATAATTCAAATATTCCAATTTCAAATGTAATTCTAAATACACTAAGAACATCACAAAAATGAAATTTTATAATAAAGACACATACAATCTAGAATTGGATACTTAAACAAAATTCATTATTTAAATTATTTTAATTTTCAGAAATAGAATTGCATTGTCCCTTATATATTTTCAAAAATTTAATACCTGCCTTCTGAAGCATCAAGGGCGTATTGTACTTAAAATATAAAGGACAGGAATAGAGCTGTCACAGAATTCAGGTCCAGTATTTGTCATCACCCAAAGGCAGTGTGGTTGGAGGTTGGACTTTGGAAATGGAAAGACCACAGTCATACAGGGAACCCTTGGACATACTGGGCTGAAGAGCTCACATTCCCCAAGAAAGAAGCAGGACATTTACCTTGGTCTTATCCATCCAGTAGAAAAGTATGAAGATGAAATATAGGAAGTAAAGCCATGCTGTTATGTTGAGCTGTGGGGGACTCAGGTCAATAATTTCTGACATTGCCAGTTAAACAGAAGACCCAATGCTATTATGGTCTACTGGACTCTTTTAGAATATTTTGCTGAGTTTACACACCTATAATATTCAATAACGGAACTTAGAATAAATAGGGTATACAGATGAATGTCCATTTTGTATCTGTGTATTCAAAGTGGTTAGGATAGATATATAGTTGCATTCTCTTAATGAGTAGAATGATTTGTTCTAATGGTGTTTGTAAATAGGATCTCAAGTCCGCATCTTGTACAGCAATTAACCACTAAGAAGAATATATGCAGTGTGTTATTTGTTGAAACTGTACTTCCGATTTGATTTGAAACTGTCTCATTGCTGTTTATCAATAAAATTTTGGAAAAAAATAGGATGGATATACAGCTACATTCTCTTAATTCAACGAATAAGATTTGTGCTAATAGTGTTTGTGGATGGAATGTCATGTCTGCATCTTGTACAATGAATAACCACTGAGACAACAATGTGCAATGTATTTATTATTGAAACTGTCCTACAGATCTGTTTTGAAACTGTCTCATTGCTATTTGTTTCTCAATAAAATTATTAAAAAATAATAAATAAGAAAGAATCAGGACAGACTGCATGGAAAGACTTCAGAATAGCCATTCTTAGCATTCACTTGCAAAGCTTAAAAAAATCTAATTCAGTATCTTTGTGTGGTTCCGTTTCAAGTTCTCAAGTAACTAGATTACCGGAAAGTCTTCTCAGCATTCTTTAAGTTGAAAGATGATGCATATCTGGTAAGTTATGACTGACAGCTTCAAAACTAGTTCTGACACTTGGATGAGAAGGAAATTACCACTCCACAACTGGGGAGTAAAAGTCACATCCTGCTGAGTGCTTATAAAGGACGCAGTACCAACCAGAAGAGACTGAATGGACACTCTATTTTGTCAAGGCAGGATGAAGATATTGAGAGAGCACAAGAAAAAAATTTACGATCTTCTTCATTTTGGAAGCTTTTACTGGGACTTGAGTATATCACTGACTTAATAGAATGTGAACCAGACTATTTGAGTTTAGGTGACTCTAGTTTTCTTTTTGGCAGAAACAGAAACTTGTGTGTGTCCAGTTCATGAGAAGCAAGGGACATGCAGTTGGGAAAAAGATATTCATTAAGGCAGCCAAAGTTAGCAATAAGGTGCTGGGATTATGAAAAATAGGCATACATGCTTGGATAATGCAGGACATAGTATAAAACTTTACATACAGGCACACCAGGACAAGGATTCTCTTGGTGGCTCTGGTTACAGGTGAGGTTCTGCAGGACACATTTGCCCTATGCATGTGTCTGACCTGCTGCTTGTGCCTTTGGAGGGTGAACACCATGAAACCACTGGCCCAGAGCATGAGCCCAATACAAAGACCATCACTGATGGAGAATAAAGCTACATTTACTGAACGTAGGACTTTCCCATCACTTGGAGCAGAGCAGTACTCAAAGTTTATTTCATTTGTGATGTTTTTGTTTTTTGACTTAGCAGTTATTTGAACTGGAAAAATGATATTCACTATCATATTCAGTGTCCAACAGAGGGTAATGAAGATTTCTAAATACTTTGGGAATTTTGCTTTAATATTTGCCCACCTAGAGCTCCTGGGGACAATAATGGTGACCTGGAAGACACTCAGCAGACAGGTGCTGCCAATGGACACACCCCTACCCACCCGGTGAACATAGAAAATAAGTTTGCATCCAACATCAGTAAGGAAGTCCTTGACCCCCAAAGCTGCCATAGTCTCTGGGATTCCTCTAGAGAGAATGACCAGTGTGTTGGCCACAGTCAGGTGCCTGAGAATCAAATCTGAAGATCGAGGTTTGTATCCACTGACATAAAGGAACACATACTGACCTAAAAGAGACAAATTCCCTATGGTTCCAATGATGATCTGCCCCAGGAATAGCACTTCAATACTTACCTGGGTGGCGGTCATTCTGTTGTTTTCCATGCTCAGTGTTTCAATTCGTAGGCAGTGGACATGAGTTGTACATTGACTTGAACAGAGAATAAAAATGAAAATTCTCACTAGGCAGCTCAGACTTGTAGTGGACCTCTTGTTTCAGCCTCCACAGAAATGGAAGATTACCGTGCATGCCTGGTCTTGGTAGCCAACTTGACATGCACGGGGGTGGGAGAGCATGGTTCGTGGTACCAAGCATTGAACCCAGGTCCTTGTGCTTGCCTAAACAGGTGCTTAGACTTCTAAGCTATCTCCAAGTTTCCCTATTATTTTTATTTTCTTCAGAACTTTTGATTTGGTATTAGCAAAATCTGAGGATCCTCTTCAGTTTGCATACAACTTTTGGAAAACTGTCACTAAAGTTTACACATTAATGAAAAAAATTTACACTCATAATTGTATGATTTGTCACTATTATTTTTCTTTACATGCCAGGGAAATTCAGTTGCTACCAAGATGTAGCAACTCAATTAGACATTTATAGAGTTTCCTTTTGAACTAAAGTATGTTGCTTGTGAAAATATAGACAGATGTTAACTTATGCCATTAGAAAAGCTATTAAATGCAATTATGTTACCATATTTCATTGATTTTTGAACTTCAAACATAAGAGTATCTGCAGTTTCTTTTTAAATTTTTTGAAATGCATACAGAAATAGTAAAAAAAATAGAAACAATACAGAATTTCACTAAACAGAATGATAGAGATTCAAAAATGGTTGTTATATTGAATATTGTGGTCTTAAAATTATTTGCTCAGTTTAACAAATTTAAGTCTGTAAGATTGGAAAAAATATAAAAAGTTAAAAATGAGTGTAAATGGGGGACTCAGGCCAATAATTTCTGACATTGCCAGTTAAACAGAAGACCCAATGCTATTATGGGCTACTGGACTCTTTTAGAATATTTTGCTGAGTTTACACACCTATAATATTCAATAACGGAACTTAGAAAAAATGGGGTATACCGATGAATGTCCATTTTGTAACTGTGTATTCCAAGTGGTTAGGATAGATATATAGTTGCATTCTCTTAATGAGTAGAATGATTTGTTCTAATGGTGTTTGTAAATAGGATCTCAAGTCCACTTCTTGTATAGCAATTAACCACTAAGAAGAATATATGCAGTGTATTAGTTAAAACTGTACTTCTGATTTGATTTGAAACTGTCTCATTGCTATCTGTTTATCAATAAAACTTTGAAAAAAATGAGTGTAAAATTATTTAAGCATTAATTACTCCCTTGAATAAACCAGCAGAAATCTGCAAAACAATTTTCCAAGCTAATCTATGTGTATACCTATATATTTCTTCATTCTTCTTTCATTTCTCCTTTCCTTCATGTCCACTGTTCCTTCCTATTGAGCAATTTTGCTTTTCCTTTTCACTGTATTCATTGTACCTCTCAGATCCTATTTACTTTTTTTAGGAGTAAGCAGGTTACTCAGGTTCTTACACTAGAGAAGGCAATACAATGTTTACACATGTGAGTGTAATTAATTTCACTTATGAGTATAACCTCTAGTTGCATCAATTTATCTATAAAATTCACAAGTTTATCTTTCTTTAAAGCTGTGTAATTCTCGATTATGTAAAAGTACCACCAATTTTATATCCATTAGTCACTTGCTGGGAATTTGGTTTTTTTTCCAAGATTTAACTATGACAAATTATTCTTCAAGAAGCATGGGTACACGTGTATCTCTGTGGTATGTTTTCAATTTCTCTGGAAAATACCCAAAAAGGAAATATCTGGGTTGAATGGTACTTATAATTCTAGTTTTTTGGGGAATCTCCACACTGATATACATAGTGGTTGCATGTTCTCTTTAACAATGTAAAAGTTTAATTTTGAATGTATACTGGGTTCCAGTTTCCTCAATAAACATTCTTCTTCTGACAAAAATATGTTGAAATGTAAATATGGAAGTTTTAGATATCTTAATATGGATATCTTGAATAATTTATATTATTCATGTAGTTTTATTGATTGTGGATAAATATTAGGAGAGAAACAGAAGCTCTCATATTTTTTCCTGAAAGTTCAAAAGATGCAGATTATAGGAAAACATTAAGGCTTGTTATAAGTTTGTTATATGGTATATAATATGTATTCATGCAATATGTGAAAAGCAAATATGATTTTCTTTAGAAAATCATATATTACTTCTTGAAAAAACTAAATTAAGTTCTATTTATAAGATCTGTGTAAAGAACACATTGAAATTAAAACATATGCTGAAATTAAAGCATAAAGATTGTTCCAGGGCTTACTTGCCTGTGTGTGTATGGGCACTGAGCTTATGGCATCCACGATTACGCTGGAACTTGTTCACAGTAATCAGTGATCAGCGCAGAATCCTAACTCCATCATTCATGTCCTTGAATCTTGCTCTCCTTCAAGAATCCTGAGCCTGCTTGTGTGGCTTTCTCACAAATATTTCTCTCCAGAAGGAAATTATCTCAGAATAGGATCACTTTCCCACTACCTTTTGCCTCTGCTTCCCTTCCAGTGTGTATTTTTTTGATCTCTCTGTGGTCCCTGAGAGAGAGAGAGAGAGAGAGAGAGAGAGAGAGAGAGAGAGAGATAGAGAGAGAGAGAGAGAGAGAGAGAGTGGTGAGATTACTTAGAAAATAAAAGCAGGTGATACAGCTGAGGTCTGATGGTAAGCCACACTTAAATGGTAAAGGACTCCTAGAACAAAAGTAGGTATCTTTATTTGTACCTTTGCAAAGTTAGAACCAGGAAACACAAGGTTTCCTAGTGACTAACAGCCAAAGTTGACTGGGCAAGATGTTTTTTCTCAAGACTAAGGGAGCCTTACTACTTTACACAATCTTGCCATGACCAGCCCTCGGATATATGATCAATTTACAACTTTGGCAGATCCCAACACAGAGTTTCCCTCTCAGACAGAAGGAGAAGGCACTCACCTGTTTTACTGTGTTTCTAGGATGGCGACCTCAAGGTGACAGGCGCCTGGAGTACGATGTGAATGGGAAAGTAGGTCCAACACAGAGATAAACATGGAAGATGCTATGAACTCACCTCCCCGAAAAAGTGACATGATCACTCCCATGATGATACAATGACAGCGTCTTCTTCATTGTTGCATGTCTGAAAACTTTTTCTTGATTTCCAATTCCCAGAAACAATTAAAAGTTTCTCATTTCTGTTAGGCATTCCCAAAGAGCAGAGGAGTGTGTGGTGAGACCATGTGTGGTGAGACCATCACTTTGTCTCTTCCCTGGCCAGATGGGTCGCATATGAAGGCAGCAGACAACTTGGAAATTTGAGGATAGAGAGACAGAGAAGCAGATGAATTCCCAGATTTTATGCACCTGTGAGTTGTTTGTTTCACAAACCTTGTTCTCTAAATCATAGTCTGCCAAACTGTGTTCTTATCAGAGAGAAAATAAGATCCATACACGGGAATGCCAAGAAAGAGTGAAAGTGAGCATAACATAACACAGGAGATAATAAAATCCATAACAGTTCAGTTCGGTAATTCAGTACAATCTAATCTGAAGGCTCACTGAGGTGGTTGAAAGATAAATTCAGGGAGAACACTGGATATGTACCTTATCTCCAATAAGTACCACTGTATTGGGAGCAGTCTAGCAACTATTAACATGGCAATTTGTAAAAATCAATAGTTTTCAGATAGCTAGACATGTATAGGTATGATATAGACACAGATGTCCTACATAAAAGTTATATATGTTTCTGAAAATACATTCTAAGGAATAATTCTAATATTTATCACAATATGCAAGATAGAAAACCCAAAGGTCTTTAATGTGACACTACAAAGCAGAGTCTACAAGAATTAATACTCTACTCATTATAATTCTATACTTTAATAAATAAAAAATCATAACATATAAATAAATATAGCAAAATACCAAATGCTTAATTTACAAATAATTGGAGGTTATATGTAAACTAGGATGAGATGAACTAGAATGATAGAAAGCACAAAATAAAATCAGACTTTTTCTACAGGAAGTAGCAGATTTTATTTCAGCCCTTATTAGAAAATATATATATGTACATTAAAATGTAAAAATAAAATATTCAGTGCTCAAATTTTATAGTTCTTCAATGTCACACAACTTTGTAGAGACAGCAGTGTGGTATTTGAAGAATAGATTAAGAAATTAGTACAGTGCAAATTCATTATAGTATCCAGGAAGGAATAAAAATGATATTTTAATTTGCTGACAGATCTATAAAATAACATTAGTTTCAAATAAATATGATAATGTAGATATGCAATTGTTGTATAATAAAAGCTCATAATATATATAAATAAAATAAAGAATAGAAAGCATATCTGATTTCTAAAATTAAAAAACCTATGCATTGTAATCTAACAAAACTTCAAATAAAATGACAAGAATATTTTAATGTGGCATTCAGAAGAAATAGGTTTCACTGAAGGCAATTTTGCTAGCAGAAATGAAGATTCTCATAGGAACACTTTCAATTCTTTCCTGAAGAAACAAGGAAAGAACGAAATATCCCAAAATATTTGGAAGCAGTAAAACAATCACATGTAACAATAAAATAAGTTAACTGCAAAGAAAAATATATACCAAATTTAAGCAAATCAAGAAGTATTTGTTTTCCTCACTCATTTTGCATCATGAAACAGCAGCATTTATTAATAGGATTTGCTTTTACAAAGTAGAAAGGGAGTGGCTAATGCTGGAAGAAAAAGGAAAGAGAAAAATAAAACTCTATACTGATGTAAATAGAAAATAGAGAATTCCCGTATGTCTAAAGTTTATTACAATTTTTATTTGGGAATATACTTGAATTACAATTTTTTTATCTACTCATTAATTGATGAACATGGATTTATTCTTTGTCTTGGTAATTCTATAATGGTGATGTGAACACGGGCAAAAATTACTTAAATGTAGAGAAATTCATATGTACATATATGAGTGTCTGATATTCTTGTGTTCTTCATATATCTAAT